CACCCGCCCGGCCCCGCACATCGCGCCCCCAGCCCGGTCCCGCTCCCCACCGAGATAAACACCGTGTATCCGAGAGATGGTGGCTGTAGGACCACCCTCCCCACGCTCCTCCTCGGGCAGAGGGGGTCCCCCTTCAAAGGGACCTGGGGGGGCAAAACGTCCTTCTGTGCCGGGCTGGGCACCCCAAAAGGAGCTGGACACCCAAAGTGGGGTGTCTGGGTGGCTTTCCTTATTGCTTCTCCCCCGCAGCAGCCACTGGGAGAGGGCTCGTCTAACCCCAAGGGCAGTAGGGTGTATATTTTTAGGAATGGTGTTTTTTCAGGCTGTAAATGTGTCCAAATTGTCCGGCGCACAGCTAAATCCCTGCACCAAAACATCCCAGAGGTGAGCTCAGTTTTGCAGAAGAATCTTTATTTCTCTCCCTGGGGTGGGGTATCGGGGTAATTCACTGCAGCGAGAATAAATCTTTTTCATCTCTGACTTCTTTTCCTGCCTGCAAAATTCTCTTTTGTTCCTTCAGAGCCTTCACAGATAGAAGCCTCAGGACTGGCCGGTGCAATCAGCTCTCCAAGGACATTTCATCTGGCCCCAAGGCTGCCTGTGGAGAGAGAAATATTTAATGTAACAATTACTTCTATAGCTAACTCACTCCGCAGCTTCTCAGCTGTCTTAATGGACGTTCAGATCTCAGCCTGCCGGCCGTGCTGGCAGGTCAGGGGACAGTCACAGCCCTGTGACACTGCCACCACAGGACATGGAACCCTTTTCACCCTCAGCAGTCCACGAGCAGCCCCACCAAAGGGGCTCCTGGTCAGCCACGCAGACAAGGTATGTGGGGAAGTGAATATATGGCTTTGGTGTGAGGATGCTCTGTTCCTGACATTGTCTTGCCAAGAAAAGCAGGCAATTAGGAGCAGCACAGAGGAAAGGTGGCCATCCCACAGGGCACAAGGAGGTGCTGAGACACAGCAGCATGGCTCTGCATTCCTCTCCTGATCCCAGGCTGGCCACATCCCTCCGGGAGTCACTCCTGCCCTCAGGGAAGGCTGCACCATATCCCCAGCCGCAGCATGGAGGTTGCAAGGCTGATGGGGAAAGCCCAGTCCCAGGGAGCTTTCACCCTTTGGGAACTACCCCAGCTCCATGTACCCTCAGACACTACAGCAGGGCACTGGCATTTGGGTTTACGGACACTGGGGTTGTCTTTGGTCTCCCTTGAGCTGTGGGTCAGCTCAAAGAGAGGCCAGGTCTACCCTCATGCTGCGGTGAGTATTAAAAAATATGAGGGAAAACATGCAGTTTCTTCAGTGCAACTCACAACCCGCAGCACTGTATGCAAAGATCAATAGCAGGATCCCCCATCCAGAAACCACAAAATAAAATGGCCTGAGATGGAGATGGGTTACTTGGGCAGGGATGCAGCAGGCTGGGGATCTGGCCTGCAAGGGTGGCCAAAAACAGAAGGGAAAGGCATGGTGTAAGGCCACCAACCCTCCCAGGCTGCAGGGACTGGTGGCACAGGGGTGGTCCATGCATGGTGTGAGTCTCTGGAGCTGATAACCCCAGTGGATTTTTTCTCTTCAGCTCTCCCTGCAACACCAAAGGCAGCTCAGACCCACCACCTTGCTGCAAGGCTCCCACCAAGAGGCTCCACTCGATGCGGTGTCACAGGTTTGTGTTGTCCTCTTCTCCCTCTGCCCTGGGGGAGGAGGAGAGCCAGCCCTGCAGCAGGAATCCACGCACGCAGCCAGCAGTTGACAGTTTTATCCTCCCACTTACAGAGTCCAGAGGAGCAGCAAAGCTTTGTGCCAGCATACGAGGAAGGTGGCATGGCAGAAACGTGCCTGTGCTAAATCCAGTGGCCGTTCTGCCACTGAAGCAGGTCCCTTTGTGTGATGTGCACGTGTTTGCCCTTGAGGCAGCTGAACGCGGGTGCTGCGGTGCCAGCCTCATCCAAACTTGTCTGAACCACCACGGCCGTGAGAGAGGAGCAGACATTGGGAAAACGTGCTTCAATTGCCCTGTCTCTGTGTGGATTGAGCATCATCCTGAAACATGGCTCAGTTTCGATAGGGAATGGATCCCTGGGAGGCACGGTGCAAACCAGAAGTAGACAGAAACGGCTTAATAGATTTGCAGTGGAAAGCTGCAGCTGGAGGACTTGGGTTTTCTTTTTCCCCTTTGAGCTTTCATGTCCACAAGAGGGAACAGCAGAGGGCTACAAAGGTGATTAGGGGCCTGGAGCACCTTTCTTATGAGGAGAGGCTGAGGGACTTGGGTCTCTTTAGTCTGGAGAAGAGAAGGCTGAGGGGGGATCTGATCAATGCTTATAAATACTTAAAGGATGGGTGTCAGGAGGATGAGGCCGGTCTTTTTTCAGTGGTGCCCAGGGATAGGACAAGAGGAAATGGGCACAAGCTTGAATATAAGAAGTTCCATCTAACATGAGGAGGAACTTCTTTCCATTGAGGGTGGCAGAGCCCTGGGCTGGCCGAGACGGGTCTGGGCGTGGGAGCAGCTATCGGGGCAGCTTGTAACGCTCAGTGTTAACTGTACACATATTTAGGATGGCAGGTATCCAGAAAACAGCTTGGTGTTTGTCCCTAAAGATGCATCTCTTAGCTTGGTTCAAATATGTAAACTCCTTGCACAGTAGTGTCACCGCAAAATGGCAGATAAAGATTCCTAAGACTCAATTTGAAGTTTAGAAAGCAGCCGTTCTTTATTGCGGTACCAGGTGCACAGGGGATCGCTCCTCCTATTGTGCACACCGAATGCTGTTGTCAAATTAAATTTATACACAACAGGTATACTTATTCAATGTAATTCCAAGAAAGCATTAGCATATTTATTACATTTCTGATAATTCATTTACATATTATAATAATCTTTTGGGCATGTGTAGTTGTGCCTTCTGGTGGTCCTCATTTTGAGTGAGGGTCGTTTCTTCCTCAATCTTCATCTTCTTCACCTGTCCTTTGGCTCAATTTTCATGTTAGCAAAATATTCTAACTGCTTAATTGCTCATTAAAACTAATGATCTCCCTGCTACCATCTGTTTGTCAGACAATGTCCATATTTATTGCATTCCTGTCTTAGGTCACCATGTTCTCAGGGCCACAGACATCCTTTCTTATCTTACTAAGTCCTTGAAACCATTTGGGATGCTTGCTAAAATGGCTACGTTTCTTCTCTAAAAGAAGATTTTCTACAGTTTAACCATTTATACACTGTATAAAATCTGCCTTGGGTATCCAGATCTGGAGAGGTGATTCTGAGACCACACCTGGAATACTGCGCGCAGGTCTGGAGCCCTCAATAGGAAGGACATGGATGCGATGGAGCGGGTCCAGAGGAGGGCCACGAAAATGCTCAGGGGGTTGGAGCACCTCTGCTATGAGGACAGGCTGAGGGAGCTGGGGTTGTTCAGCGTGAAGAAGAGGAGGCTCCGGGGAGACCTAATAGCGCTTTCCAGTACCTGAAGGGGCCTACAGGAAGGCTGGGGAGAACCTGTTTACAAAGGCCTGTGGTGACAGGACGAGGGGCAATGGCTTTAAACTGGAGGGGAGCAGATTTAGATTGGTGATTAAGAGCAAGTTCTTTACTGTGAGGGTGGTGAAGCACTGGAACGGGTTGCCCAGGGAGGTGGTTGAGGCCCCTTCCCTGGAGATATTCAAGGAGAGGCTCCACGGGGCCCTGGGCAACCTGGTCTAGTTGGGGGTGTCCCTGCTGACTGCAGAGGGGTCGGACCAGATGGCCTTTGGGAGTCCCTCCTGGCTGGGCCCATTTTATGATTTTAAGATTTATTAAGACCAGGACCTGGTCTTAAAAGTTTCCCTTGGGGTTTATACTTTAAATAGCTACTCCCTGCCGCCCTACAGGTGCTGGAGGGGGGAGAGTTTGGCCGGTGCTTGGCCGGGGGGAGTTTAAACCCGCTCTGCTAAAGGGCTGCCCACACCAGCCCCCGCCATGGCGGGACGGGGAGGTGCTGAGGGACGGAGAGGCTCCCCCGGGGCTGCCCAGGTTGGATGGAGGGGGGGATAGGAGGGTCCGATCCATCGCCATGGGGAGGTGGAGTGTACCCAAACCGCGAGTGAGCCCCCCGTCCCGGCTGAGGGCTCCCATCCCCGGGTCGCCGCTCCTGAGGTCCCCCTCGGCCTCCCCCGCCATCCCCTGCCCGGGTCCTCCCCTATCCCATCTGCCCCCGCGGCGGCGGCGGCGCTCGCCCCGGCCTTGGCGCGCGCTTCTCCTCCCCCGGCCCATGATGCAACGCGGCGGCCCGGGCGCAAGATGGCGGCGGAGCGGCAGGGCTCAGGTGGCGGCCGTGGAGGAGCAGCAGCAGCAGCAGGAGGAGGCGGAGGAGGAGCGGAGGAGAACAAGGAGAACGAGAGACCGGCGGGACCGCAGCCTGGCGGCCTCGGCGACAGCTTGGGCCTGGAGAGCATCCTGCGCCGCGGCGGTGGCGGCGGGGGGGGGACGGGACGTGGCAGGCCCGGCCCCGTGGGCGGCAGGGGGACGTGGCGGCCGCTGTGGGGAGCGCGGGGGCTGGCAGGCCCCGGGCGGGCGGGCACGGCCGCCTCCGCTTCCTCGTGGGAGAGGGACGGTGGAAGCTCCCCTGTCCTTGTGCGGAGGCGGCGCTGAGGGCGGCGGGCCCATCCAGGCCGCGCTGACCCATCCGCAGGCGGTAGCTGGACTGTGAGCCCTGGGTTTAGAGCCCTGGGGGTCCCGGACTATGCTGGCCTGAGAGCAGGTTGTGAGCCCTGGGGTTGGGGACCTGGGCGAAGGTGATCTGAGAGCAGGTTGTGCACCCTGGGGTCAGGGCCTCGGGTGATGCTGGCCTGAGAGAGTGTCAGTGTGACAGCCTGGGCTAACTCGGAGGCATTTGCACCATCCCTGGCGGCGAGGGTTTCATTGGGATGAAATTGGGGCGCCAGCTTTGCATTTTTGAATCGTGGTTTTGTTCTTTACCTTTGTAGTTTCTCCTTCCAAACCGTGTGATGGCTGTCAGCCTTCAAAGTAGAACTCTGCGCTAGGCTGCGTGCAGTAGATAAGAGCAGGCTGTCAGTAATCTGGCAGTAATATTAATGCTTGAAGCGGGCAATAGCGGATAAAATAAATCTAACAGGTATGCAGAGATGGCAGACTGGCTCTTCTAGATTTAGCACTTCTGAAATCTGATGTGGCATGTAAAGGTCATGGCATTTTTGTGTGTGAAACTTCCATGTGAAACCAGTCCAGCTGCACAGCTGTGAGAGCGCCGAGTTTTATCTTCTGGGTGAGAGGAAAACCCAACTGAAATCAGGTTGCAGGTTTACATTTAGCATATGGCAGGTGTTGTAAAGTTGTAGAGTAAGATGGTGACACAGTAGTCACCCCAGTAACATTAGGAATACCAAAGTCAGGGAAAAGGTCAATAAAATGGAGGATTTGAATTCAATGAGTAACTGCTCAGGCTGAGAGACAGTCTGAATAATTACAAGAAAACACTTTGATAGAGGTCTGCCATTTTAGACTGTATGAGTGTGTTGGTTTCTTTTTCTCTGGCCATAGTAATAGTGTTTCTTTTGATGGGGTCATTGTATAATCTGGCTTTGTTTCTATGTTTTTAAGGCATCTTGGTAAAGCTTTCAAGGGAAGTTTTGGGATATAAATACATACAGCACAGAGACTTCTTGTTTATGATGGAGATTTTATTTTGCAAAATAGTCTGCCTTGTAAACTGAATGAATGACATTGGCAAATTTACCAGAATATGGTATGATTTTATTTGGTAGCATTAAGTGAATAAAGTAAGCACAGGATGGACAAGAATGCACAGGATGCAAATATGAAGTCATGGAGCGATGCTGTCTTAATTCAGAGGCCATTGTCATGGAGTACTTGCTACAGTAATATACAGTAAGATTAGAGTAGAAAATAAGCCCCCTGAATTCTTCCCAAAAGCTCTTTTTATGAGGTTCTCTGTATCCAGAAACCAGTTTTTTGTGGGAGCTGTGCCAGAAAGATAGCAGTGATTCTGCTCTGTGGTACTTCTGCCCTTTCCCTGAGAGATGGGAAGTTTAAGAGCAGGAAAGCTTCTCTCCAATTAATTTTTGCCAACAAAACTGTCACAAGTGTGACTGGGGGGGGCGGGATGTAGCGTAGCTTGGGCAGTCAGTCAGATTAGCCTAGATGTGTCTGTTGGCATAGCTTATTATCCTGAAATGAGCACTTGTGATTGTCTGTAAGAGGAGGTGCTTGTGGTACATCTTAGTCCTGGCCTTGGTGACAGTCGTAAAGCTCTGAAGGGAAGCAGTGGAGTCATGAGGTCTTTTAGGGCCATCAGTTCTCTCAGTCGTGCATCTTTAGGAGGTTTTTGGGTGCCCTCTGTTCTAAGCACGTTTGCTTACTGCAACCTTTAGAGTTCCATTATTTTGGGGTAGAATAAAAAACTGATAACAGACTGTACTGTCGATCTGCCTTAACACTAATGCAGTCCTTCAGATTGTGAAGGAGTCTCAGCAGCAGCACGGTTTGCGACATGGAGACTTCCAGAGGTACAGGTTAGTAAGCTGTGTGGATCTCCTGAGTTACTACTGGGGCTTGGCTTACTTTATTTAAAATGTAAACCCATTGTAGCAGGCAACAAAAATGGTCTGCTAACTAAATATCCATTGACAAATTGCTCCAAGTGAAGCAATGTACACATATTTTTTATTCGTTAGATATAGTGTGCTGTGGCTGTTCCGTTTCAGAGGATACAGACAGACTCTTGTTTCTCTGTTGCACTTTGAGAGCTTGTTTGTTAACACCTCACTGATAATCACTATACTCTTCCAGAATTCAGTGATCAATAAAGATACATAAAGCAATTAGACAGTAAAGAGAACATCATTCTGATTTTCCATGATCAGGAATTAGTACATGTCTTCTTACCTTTCTTTTATTCTGTTAACTACTGGTTTACAGCTAGTTTCTGAACTAGCTCTTACCGTATGTCATACATGGAATTCTTAGTTAAAATGTTGCCTGTCACAGCCTTTAGTCCTTTTTTTTTTTCCTTTTTTTTTTTTTTTTTTCTGGTGTGAGAGCACAGCAAAGAAAGTTGTTCTGACTGTGGTTGTCTTTTCCTTAGGGGTTATTGCTCCCGCAGGCTGAGGCGGCTCCGAAAAACACTCAACTTCAAGATGGGAAACAGGCACAAGTTCACGGGGAAGAAAGTAACTGAAGAGATTCTCTCAGACAACAGGTACTGGATGGAATTGAGCATTCAGTGTATTAGTGAATAATTTCTTTCATTTCAGTAATTTATTTTCCACGTGGTGGAAAGCTGGTCTGTACAGTATATTCAGAAATGGTTTTTTTCAGAGATGTACGTGTGTTGTTGATACTAATAAAAGATGAAGGTTGAGGCTGCAGTGCAGGGGGAAGAGGTGCTGCTCAGATCCTGCTTCATCATGTGGACAAGTGGGAGAAGAAGGAGCGGCAACAGCCAGTTCCTTCTCTCACCTCAGAGTTGCTAAAATGGCTTCTTTTCATAATGAAATCAGTAAATGACTTTGATATTAAGGAGGAAATCCTTATTCAGATTAGTTGCATCCCAGCATGTGAATGCTGATAACATAAATGGTGTAGCCAGCAAGGTTGTGGTTGGAGACATGATCCTTTCCCTTTGAATAGAAATACTGAATTGCCAGTTTTAGTTTTTCAGAATTTGGCAGGATGCTGGTCTGATAGAATATGTGGAGAACAGCCAGGATCTTGGACTTGTTTCCCATCTTTTAGAAACACTTGAAATGTCTGCTGTCGCATCTTTTCTTGTGGGGAAAAGAAAACATGATACTGTCTTCACCTGGCTTGTTAAGGAGCCAGATGCATTCTAGCATTAATTATTCTAGCATTAGCTGGTGGGAAAACAGACACTTTTACCCATATTGAACCAGTTTTAAAGAATGACCTAAAATCATAAATCCGTTTGTCTCTGCAATGTGTGTAGTGCTCCAGAATGGTACCAAATTCTCTGCCTCAGTTGGGTGATCACATTTCTGTAGTGAGAAGTACAGTAGAGAAGAGTTAGGAATAATATGCCTTTGTGTGCTTAGAATGTTAAGAAAGAAAAGCTAATGTTAAGAAACCAAGCTAAACTTTTGTTACAAAACTTTACAGCTCGCATGGAAGAGAACTAGTGGTGACGTGGTAATACTTGTTGGAATGTCATTATTTTTTCATCAATCTTCCTTTGCCCCGTAGGTATTTGCTGTTGATTCTGATGGATGCAGAGCGAGCCTGGAGTTACGCCATGCAGCTGAAGCAGGAAGCAAACACGGAGCCTCGCAAACGATTCCACTTGCTGTCGCGCCTGCGCAAAGCCGTGAAACACGCTGAGGAGCTGGAGCGGCTGTGTGAGAGTAACAGAGTGGATGCTAAAACAAAGCTGGAAGCTCAGGTAAACACCAATTCTTTGTTCCTGTCTCACAGCAAAAGCTGGACAGGAAACCTTTGCATTTTGGGTGAAGAGATTACAGAATCACAGAATCTTCTAGGTTGGAAGGGACCTTAAAGATCATCTTGTCCAACCGTCAAC